GTGACAGCTATCTGAGTGTGTTTTGGTGTGTACGACTACGACTACGAGTATCTGTGTGTGCGCGCTGTAAAGTATGCCATGAATTGCAATATGCTTCCTTCTACGCTGCCCCTGCCCCTGCCCCTGCCCCTGCCCCACCCTGATTTACATCATCTTAGGCTTAAGCCTGCTATACTTCCTTCTGTTCGAGCTTCATTCATATCAGATCTGGTCTGCTGTATTTTATTTCAACAAAATAAAAAGGGAAAAAATCGAATTTTCCATAGACTACGAGGACTAGGCACAAATTTATGCGGCATGAATGTGCTGTGGCATTAATTAAAAGCGACTCGCACTCGCCGCTCGCCGCTCGGCCATTCTGTGGCTGTATTAGTGGGCGGAATGGCTGGCTGTTCGAGGAGGACCCTGACCACAACATTTATGGGCATTACGCATGCTGCATGCAACACGAACACACAGAGAGGGCAGGCAGGCCACACACAAAACACTGCTTAATATGCTCTTTAAATGGACTCGTTATGGATGTGTACTTTTGCCACTGACTGTGGCCGCAACTGCTGCAAGTAATTGCCATTCATTTCGTTCTTTTGTGTGTGCTTTACAATAGATATTCGTGCCTCAAAAAGCCACTCTACTGCCACTCTTCTGCCACTCTTTAAGGAACTTTTACATATGGCCTTATATTATGGCAGTCTTTTGTAGCACTTGCACCTTTTTGGACCCTTATCGACAGCATTGCAATTTGCTATCCTGCCTCGCCTCCTGACCCTTCCTGACAGTCGACTGTCACAGCAGGAAAACTGCATTCATCACAAATCTGTGTGTTTGTGTGTGTGGGGGGGGGGGTTTCTTTTAGGGGGGTCAGTCATGGTCAAAACGATTTGTCGGACGACCAACTGGCAGGGCCATTGCCTTCGCCCCTGGCAGGACACCATCGGCAGCTGTCCGGCATGGGCGGGGGCGGGGCGGGGCGGTACAGTATCCGCATATCCGTTTCCCGTCATAAATAACAACAGAGAGGGAGAGCATCGGGCTAGGTACGAAATGGAGATGGCCCAACAGATCGTATCAAAGTGACAGACAAATGACAGCCAAGGACCTTTGGCTAATTAAATGACACAAAAATAAAACTTGGTGGCCAGGCTTTAACCAAAAATTCCCTGCCAGGCCAAAACAGTGACAGTGCCCCTTTAATAGTTTTAAGCCTCCAAAAAAAAAAAAAAAAATAAAAAATAAAATCTGTGGCAACCGCTGACGCTTCTGGCAGGCCACCAGAACTTGATGACAGTCGACAAAAAAAAAAAAGCCCCGAAATTAAGCCATAAAAGTTTTTACACTTCTCATACGGAGAGCAGAGAACAGGTGGCAGGGGCAGGGACAGGGGCAGAGACAGGGGCAGGGACAGGGGCAGGGACAGGGGCAGGGGCAGAGGTGCGCTACTGTTCCGCTGATGGTAGCAGTTTTTGCATAATATAATGAAACACTTTATCATTACGAAAAGTTGACAGGGCCAGGCCAGTGGAATGGGCGGAACGGGTACGGGACATAATTTTCCATATATATTAAGTACTACAAGCCTCTTAAAGAACATTAATTAAAGTTTCTCTTTGAATATAGTTCTCATACTCTCTCTGTCTCTCTCTCTCTGGAACTAACTCAATTAACAAAAGCCTCTCTCTCTCTCTCTCTGTATCGAATAGTGACAAATGATTGGCTGTCGCCAGCAGCCGAGGCCAACTTTATGGATGGATTGTTGCAAAATTGCTGCATACGGTGTACGGCTGTAAATTGAAAGAGTTCCCCAGCTTTTTGTTGGGCTTGACAATTGAATTAGCCCGAAATTGAGTGCACAACATTTCAATTGGCCAAAAAGTCAAGAGCACGTTCAGGCCAAGCGGCGCTGGGGGCATCAATAACGTGCTAAAAACTTTGCCACAAACTCTGTGTGGATAACCCCAACACCCTTTCACCATAGTCTCCTCTCTCTCATCCCTGCTCCTTCATTGGTATGCCGAAAGCTCCATTGCAGGGAAGGTCAAAAGAGGGAGGAGAGGGTAGGATAATGGGGTCATTGATTTGTGCCTGTCTGGCGGTGACTGAAGCCCTGGCATGGCCTGCAGCTCTCCCAGAGTGCAGCCAACCAATCTCGGCTTGACCCCCGACCCCTGGCCCTAATCGCAGGGCCGGACCAGCAGAGTCCACTTGCTTGAAGCTGTGTTTAATATTCGGTCTGAACGTAAGCTTAAGAACTCAATAGTGGGGGGGGGGGGGGGGGCAAAAGAGACAGGAAATGTGCAAGGCAAGAGGGCATATCTGCAGGATATGTCCATACTGAAGTAGAATTATGAGTCTTATAAACGGATACAAGATTCGAGCCTTGAGACACGTAAATAAACTAATAATAGATCATCCAGATGTGTCGAATATGTCTACTTTTGGGGGGTAGAAGTGCGAAAAACCATACATGATTATGTTTACAATAAACTCTGGAAATCCTTTTAAAAATAGCCAAGTCCAATAATTATGCCCTGAACTCGTAAATGTCTCAAATGGTCTCAAACCATCCTTGGGGGGGACGACGACATTGAAAGAATCCACCAAATTGAGGTATCAGCTCTTCAATTCTTATAATTCGTATAATCCACATCAATCTTAACATTTATCTATCTCCCTACCTCTTAAAGAACTATTTGTACCAATCGGAAACCAGTAGGAGACCTGGCTAGGACGACCTGACCACCGATTTCCCCTGGTAGAGCCGCAAACTACTATTCTGTGGCCGTTTGGCTTTTGCCAACAGTCAACACATAAAAAGTTGGCAAAAGGAAAAAAAAAAATGAAGAGAAAAGACGAAACTTTAACAAAATAAAAATGAATTCTGCATATTTCCCACGTGGTCAGAGAAAAGTTTGTCCCAGCCGTCAACTGCCTTCGGTTGTGGGGCCAGAGTTCATGGGAAAAGTTGACTCGTTTGTTGATACGAAACGCCTTTTATTTATGGCCAAGAGGTGGTTCTTTTTTTTGGTCTTTGTGGTGGGAGACCTAGCAAAAAATATGGAATCGTTCTTTGATTGGTAACAGGAGGTGTGGGGGGAACGGAGCTCATTCCGTGGCCAGCAGATGCGTCTCGAAAGTGATGTGGTTGATGGTTCTGATGCTGGGATCATCCACAGATCCGAAGAACTGCCGCCAGCAGGCATCCACAAGGGCCGCTGTCATGTGGCGTAGGAAGAGCATCTGGATGTTTACATACAGCGATACCGTCTGCCAGTAGGTGAGGCAAAAGTGCTGGATGACGAAATAGAGCCGGCCGTAATTGAGCACTCCGGAGACGACAAATGTGAGCGTCCAGGGCAGGGCAAAGTAGAAGAATGTCCTCCAAGGAAAATAGGAGCCCTCCGTCTGGTCCAGCTCAGCGTCGAGCGTCGCCTCGTCCATCTCAAGCTCCTCTTTGGTCGCCTTTTGACGGCGCACCCACTCGGCAATCACCTCATGCGCCGTTACCAGCTGGCTGGAGGATTTCATCCTCATGTTCGTGCTTCGCACCCGTTCGTCGAGCAGTGCCTGGCGATACTCCGCCCGCTCCACTGAATCCCGATGGCGCCCATACCAGAGACCAATCATCGCCAGCAGCGAGTATAACAAGGCCCTGGCCAGCATCAACGTCCTGTACTGATAGCTCACGTTCAGGCACAGGCTACGGTCCACATTCAAACTGTTCCAATTAATTTTGGCATGGGCCTCCACCGTGGGCTGGATCACCGCACAGACGTGGAGTACCATGAGAAAAACAAAATATATAATGTCTCTGAACTTGAACATGGCGAATTTCGAATTTTAGCGTGAATCCAAACAAGAAAAAATACAAAAATAAATTTTTAAGGCTTAGTATCGTGTTGTACATGAATTAACTTTAAGTACTGACAGCATTGCTCGGAAAATCAAAACTAATGCGGCCCCAACACAATTCAAATATTTATATGCCCGCCAACAACAACAAAAAAAAAACAGTTGGAAAGTCACTCACAGTTTCACATCCGATAGCAAAAGCCGATATGTGTAGAAATACTTTTAAAATACTAACTGAATAGTTTCGATAGGTAATCGCTGACGAGTAAACTGCTTTAACAACCAATGTTAATGTTCAACCAACAAAAATATTAAATGAAATATTTACGGTATATAATATTTACATATATTAATGAAAATAAGGTATACAAACTTTAATATGCATGTTTTTCAAATTTTTGATCTCTCAGACGATTATGAATATGATTTCTGATCATCGACTGAGTGATTAACCCATTGTCGAGCAGGGGGGTACTTAAATATTCCCACGAAAATATTGAAACTTGAAGAATGTTAGCGCACTTCAGGTGAAGGATATAGTGGCCATTTTTAAAAATAAAGATGAAGGACAGGGTGGATTTACAAGAACAAATTACATACAGTATTATTTTCCGCGGTTTAACTAAAGTTGTTTTCCTGTTTAAATAAAGGGGGCTTACGTGGATTAAGCTCGTTTTTTCATCGGTATTTTTGCGCTATTTCTGATGGTCAAACCGTATATCTTATCGATAAGTGTTCTCTTCTGCGACGAAAAAATTAGTTGTAATTTTGAATGGGCTAATTGCAAGATTCGTACGAACCTCACCTCGTATGTGCGGTCAAGGTGTATTGAGAAAATGGGGTGGATTTTACCTTGCTTGCGTTGCATTTTCTGGCCCGTTCTGCCTGTTGTCCACACCTTCTTTGTCTTTACATTATGTAGCAAATGTGTAGTTACCATGTATTTTCTTCGTCTTTTTTATTTTCATTTCGCTCTGCTGCTTATTGTTGATCTTCCATCCATGGTTACCGTTTAAGATATTTGTATGGCGTTTTGGTATATTTCTGAGGGTCGGACGGTATATTTCTGAGGACGGTATATGTTATCGATATCCACTGGTCACACCGCTTCCATCTCTTTTCCGGCTAGATTGCGACTTTTTCAACGCACCGTTTGTTTTTATTTGCTTAAAAGATAAGAATTGCACTGAAATGGAGGGCGCAATTGCGCATAACTTAGCGAATGGGCAAAATCGCACCAGCGACGTGGAGGCCGGCCAGATGAAACACTTCTCGGCCCTGCACCTGCGCCGCCAGGTTATGAGGGGTTTGGCTGCCGAAAACTTTAGGACGCCAACGAAAATTCAGGCTGCAGCCATACCCATTGCTCTGACTGGAATGGGTGAGTGTTTGGCTCATAGCTAATAAGAAATAAAACCCCATTAACATTTGCTTTCGTGTGTGAGAGTAGATTTGTTGGTGCAGTCCAAGAGCGGCACAGGCAAGACGCTGATCTATGTGGTGACCGCGCTGCAGATGTGCAGCCTTTCGACTCAGCATCCAGAGGTTTTGGTGATTTTGCCCACACGGGAGCTGGCACTTCAGGTGCACGACACATTCCGTTTTTTGGGTGAGAAACTGCGGTCCTTCAAGGTCAGTTCCTTTATGGGCGGCACCGATGTGACCAGGGATCGAGAGAAACTACGCAACTGCCATGTGGCCATTGGTACACCGGGTCGCCTGCTGCAACTGCACGAAAAGGGCGTTCTTAATATGTCCATGGTGAAGTTGCTGGTGCTCGACGAGGCCGATCAGCTCTACGTGACGGCGAGCCTTCAGAAGACGGTGAACGCCCTGATTGCGGTGCTGCCGCTGCAGCGCCAGGTCATTGCCTGCAGTGCCACCTTCGATCAGAATCTGGACGAGAAGATAGCCAAAATGATGGAAAAGCCCGTCCTGATATCGAATAGCGAGCGCGCCACCGTACTCCTGGGCATCCGACAGTTTGTCTACGAGTTGCCCGAACAGGTCAACAACCTACTCGAGATGCGTCTGAAGCTGGAGGCCCTGAAGAAGATCTTCGCCCAGCTGAACTACGAGCAGGCAGTGCTCTTTTCCAACTCGAAAATGCGTGCGGACTCGTACTGCAGTTACCTAAACGCCGGCAAAATACCGTGCGCGCTACTCTCGGGCGACCTCGCTCAGGAGAATCGCTCCAAAGTGTTCGAGGGCTATCGCAACTTTTCGGTGCGCACCATAGTGGCCACGGATCTGATCGCCCGAGGCGTGGACTCGCATCACGCCAACTTAGTGATCAATCTGGACCCGCCGACTGATCACATAACCTATCTGCACCGCATCGGGCGTGCCGGACGCTTCGGCTCCAAGGCCATAGCCATCACATTCATCTCGTCGGCGAAGCAAAGCGAGAACTTTAAGAAGATTCTGGCCAAGGCCGGCACCGGCATGTCCGTCCTGCAGTTCCCCACAGAAGGGCCGCCGGCAAAGGACTTTAACTACTTTGAGTTTGATGCCTATCAATTTCCATATTATTTTAAGACCGAAGCCTGTGAGCAGGACAATAACGAGCTGAATCGAATCATAAAACCGAAGTTTTATGAACAGCTGGCCATCAAAATAGCCGAAGAAAATGCTGAACAAGCCACGGATGGGACTCCTGTTGAGGAAAAGACACAGGATCCTATGGAGCAAATCATTGAGCCCAAAGTAGAAGAGACTGCTTCTCAGGCTAAAGAGGAGTTCGTCCAACCAGAAGTTCTCTCTCCCGCTCAAGTGGCTGAGGAAAAGCCGACCAATCTACAATTTGAGATTCTCACATATCCCCCCATGGAGGAGGCCAACAACAATCCTCTGGAAGACACCAACCGAGCATTTGAGGTGCTCTCGTTGCCGGAACCCGTTGAAGAGATCCCCGCTTTGAATGAGGAAAAGCCCAGCACCAGCTCTGCAGCCAAAAAGAAAGAGAAACAAAGGCGCACATCTGAAACGCAAAAGGCTGTGAAAGCCCCCGTAGAGCCGCAACCGGGCTTCGCAGACAACAAGGAGAATCGACCATTGAATGGAGTAGAAACCGCCACAGAAAGCCGGTCAGGGTCCAACCAGACAGTGATGGCAGTGGATGGCTCTCCTCAAACATCAAAAACCATATCGGATGGCACAGCAAAGCGTCCAGAGTCCCAGCCGATGGCCATAGGAGAGGACTCACCGCAGACATCACAGACACCAACGGAGGCGTCACAAGAACCCACTCAGTCCACGGGCTGTTCGGTTGAAACACACCCGGGACCGCCAGTGAATTCGATCAATACGAAGACCTACTGCCTGGTGGTGCCTGCCACGGAGAACAGCTCGACCACACTGCAGCCGCATGTCCTGTCGAACACGGTGGACGATGCCAGCAGCATTGTCTCGGACAGCCTGGAGTGCGGCTATGCGAGTGATGCCTCATATGTCAGCCACTACACGGAGAGCGATGGCCAGATTATTTGGCAGCGCTTCAGGGCCCGTCAGCGACTGCTCAAGAGGCGCCGTCGATCCCCCAAGGCTCATCGCTGGCATCAAAAATTCTCAACATTTTTACGAGTGCAGCCAGCATTCAGGAGTGGAAGGGTAAGTGTGGCCTGGATCACACTCAAAGATCGAGAAGCTAACCAAAACTATACGTTATTCGTTTCAGAAACCCGGCATCGATTCTCTGCTGCCAGTCCTGGCCCACCATCAGTTGCTGACGAAGTTTGAGAACAGGGAGAGCATAATCAAACGCTTGAATGCCTACAAAACGATATTCAAGGTCAAGAATGAGTCGCGCTGGCTGGACGCACTCTACAGGACGGCAATGGAAGTTTACTATACGAATTATGGCCCTGCCGCAGAGCAGCAGCCGCCGCCAGGTCTGGCAAAGCTGAGCGTTCATGTTGCCCATCAGATGGACATTCCAGCCGCGGCTGCTCCGCCGGCAGCTGTGGTTGTCGTTGAAGTCGAAAACGAGGCAGACGATGAGGCGGACTCATCCGAATCGGCCTTGTCATCAGGTGACGATGAGGTTTTTGAAGAAACGAGCTCGCCATCGAGCGGCTTTGGGGAGAGTACAGAGGAGAGTGCCTCTTCGGGCATTGAGACGTCTGTCTACGATCCTTCTGGTTCCTCAAATGCCCACGACAATGATGATGATGATGATGATGAGGAAGACTATGACAATGAGGAAGACTATGACGATGAAGAGGACGAGGAGGAGGAGGAAGAGGAGGAGGAGGATGATGCATTTAGCAATACTGGGAGCACTGACAATAGCTTTGTGATGAGAAACGTACGCCATCGACCTACTAAACGGGCAGCAAGTGACAGAACTGCCAGCAGTTCTAGCCACGAAAGCAATGCTGGTAGAGGCCACATTTCTCCAGATCGAACCAATGCCAACGATGCCTGCAGTGCCCCAAAGACTGATGAAAGCATTGCCGCAGAGACTGATGAAAGCATTGCCCCAGAGACTGATGAAAGCAGTGACCGCGAGGATCGAGAGTCAGTACAACCGGATGTTGCCCAAATAAACCGGGCCAAAAAACTCTGGGAGGAGACCTTCAACAGGCAGTATCTGATAATTGCCAACCACGTGGCCAATCACATGGCCCAGTTCCAGGACGAAGAGGACTAAACAAGCACAACCAACCATTCTCCTTCCGCAGACTGGTCGGACGGAGAGTCAGTCATTAATATTAAACAATCTCTCGCTAAATAGAAACAAACTGAAAACGGACAAGTTCCCAGAGGCTGCATCAGTCTTTCTCTCTCTCTTTACATACATTTTTCGCAATGTTACCCAAACTTGAACACTTTTTGAAACGGTAATGAAATGAAATTTAAACTTTTTTCAATGTATAACAAGAATTAACCGATATACACATAATATACTCCAAAAAAAAAACCTTAAAAAACTATATATACATTAAACTGGTATTGGAATACCTTTCTATTTGACTAGAACCCATAGTTATAGACAAGTACAACCGTTTAAAGGCTATGTGATTACATATAATATATCGTATATCAATAGAATTACACTTGCATACGTCCTAGTGATACACGAATGAGTATCGAAGTGAAAGACAATGAGAAAGTTAAGTTTTTGTTATGAACTAAATGCGAAACCGATTGTACAGGCGAACTCGATTGAATCAACATTAATTAGAGACTAATTATAACCTTAAATTTACTTAAACCATCTAAAGAACCATGAAAAGATTATATATATATATTCACGATTCACCAGAAAAAAAATATTCAAATTTGAAGAGCCATGAGTCATTTTCTTTTTCAACCAATTATTAATTCATTTTCAATAAAATTTTGTAATACAAAAACAATGTTTTGTAATATTTATGAATTCTTAAAATTCTTCTTTTTTTTTGCTGTAGAAGGTAGAACCTATATCTCAGACTATAAGAGTTAGTGCAACCAGACTTCTCTGATATCAAGTTTACTTCGCCAAGACCTCTTCTGCCCCCACAAAGAATGAAAAGCTATGGCTATGGATGAGATCGGATCGTTATTATATATGAAATTATGCAAGGTGGTCCGCTCCCGCAGCGCGCTCTCTTTTTCGACTCTTATTTTGTCTCTGTCTATCTCAAAGCGCTCTCAGTGTGTAGTGTGGAGCGTAAAATAGGACCCGAAAGAGAGTGGTCGGACCAACTTGTATAATTTTCAGTGGCTACGCTGTTCCCAGCCACGCGCTTACTCAGTCTCTCTCTCTCTCTCTCTCTCTCTCTCTCTCTCTCTCTCTCTCTCTCTCTCTCTCTCTCTCTCATACACTCTTCCTCGTGCAGTGTGCGCGCTCTGGCGTAGGGGAAGGAAACATGGTGACCAGCGTGAGAGAGAGAGAGATAGATATAACTGCTAGCTAGCGGTCGTGGTTCATCTCTTTCTCTCTCTGTTTTTCCATGACAGATGAGTGAGAGAGATAGAGCATTGTATAAGCTCACATATAAACAATAAGGAGGGCCTACCAAATATTAATTTTGAGTTTAAAAGTAAAATATAAACAAAAAACAATAAACTGCGGGAAGAAGGACTGCTCTTTTCCTGCCTTTTTGGTTTTAATTGTTAGAAATGTGTGTTGGAAAAATTGTAAAAAATATATGAGGTTGGTTTCGATTAAGTTTAAATATATTTGATATTTAGTGGTAGGTTGGATGGTTTAGAAGTTATAACACTCTGTTCTCTATCATTTATCTGGGAGCCGTCGAGCCGCGGCCCTTGCCACAACGTTGCCCGCTCCCTTGTAATCCCAACTGAATTGATTATTATTTAAAGCCACATGGTTGCATGAGATGGAGCTATGGCCACTGAGGCCTTGAGCTCGTTGGGGTAAGAGGGATATTTAAGAGGATATTTCTAGGAATTTGATAACTATTTTGGTATTTGTGTTAGCGATATGAGGTCTATGTTGTGGGGCGACGGTGGGTCGCATGTCTATGGCGGATTGTTTTGACCATTTAGTGGGCGTTGGAGAGCTTAGTGGGGCCAAGTCTCCGCATTTATGATGACTTTTTGGGGCAAGTGCTAGTGCCAAAGAGTTTGCTCATAGGTTGGTGCCAGGCAGAGGTTTTTTGTGTTTAGATCGGCTTGGAAAAACCATTAAGCTTCCTTTTTCTCCCATTTATATTTCAATAAAAATTTTAAAAAAGAAAAAAAAAATATTTTTGTTATGAAAACCTTAAAAATAAATAATATAATGTTATATAAATATGTATTAAATATATATAAATATATGTAAATCTAAAATGCAAAGGAAACCATATTTTTGGAATAATGAAAATGTCTTTGGACCCACTTTTAGGTAAATACCTCGTGCTGTATGATATTTAGGGTTTATCTTCTTTCGTTTAGGAAGAAATAATCCCTTGATCGACTGCTGGGAGCGCCAGTCCCCAGCCAGAGCATAAATCATAAATTTGGTGAAGGGGGGGGGGCATCATCAGCTGTGGGGCAACAATATTGTTGCACAGCCATGCTGTGTCGCCGCCGCTCACTTTGAATTGATTGCAACTGAATGCGGCATCTGCGTCGGTGGCAGAGTCCAATGCACATTCGCCCTGCGGTGGAGCACGCAAAAGCTTTTGCCGTTGTAGTTGTCGTCCCCATCTGGATGGGGCAGCCACAGCAGCAGCAGCAACAGCAACAGCAACAGCAGTTCGCGTGCACTTGCGTTCCACATCCAATAAGGAGCGTGAGAACCTGCCGCATGAATGCAAAGTGAGTTGGAAGCAGCAACGGCTCGGCTCGGCTCTGAGGCTGCGACTCCGACTGCGACTGCGACTGCGACAACATTTTATAGATGCTAGAAGTTGCATTTTGTCGCTGCGCTTTGCCCCAGAGCCCCATGCCCCTACCCCCTGCCCCTGCCCCCCCCCACCCATATCCCATACGCGATTCGATTAGCGATAAATGCGAGATGCGAAAAATGCTGCTGCCTTTGTCGTTGGCCAACTGTGGCTGTTGCAGGTGTTAAGGCTTTATAATGATGTTAACATTTTTATGGCCCACAACAAAATAAACTTAAAAATTTGTTCAGCGCAATAATATTTTTGCGGTTAAAGCTTCTCTTTGCCCCCATATATGGGGGCACAGGCAATTGCCGTTGCCGTTGCCGTTGCTGCTGCTGGCGCGCGGCTGCCTTTCGGCTAAGTGGAACGCTCCAGGGGCCAAGAGCCAAGTCACAGATACAGATACGCTCATGCAGGCCTCAACAAAACTAATTAAAATCGCTGAACGTCGTAAACAATTATGGCCAAATTACTGGAAAATTAAATAAATATTATATGGTTTTTGTTTCTTTTTTTTTTTCTTTCGTTTCTTCCATGAGGCACCGCCAATGCCGAATGGGAACACCTGAGGTGTGATGTAGAATCTCCAAGGTCGTTTTCATTCTAAAGAAGATTTCTAGAGAATCGTTTAAGCCTAATTATTGTTCCTATATTTACAAAAGACCCCCCAAGACGATAAAAGATCCCTCTATCCTCTTTTCAGCGAAGGATCAATATAACAGCTGTTTTTCGGGGGACTCTAAGGGATAATCTTCAACCTGCTCCAACTAGAATTTAGCCAATCAATTCCAGGCCTGGACTCGGGACTTTTCAGCCCTGAGATCCGACCCTCTCCTGTGGGTAGGGCCCAGCGATTTATGTGACCGAACGGCTGACGCCTGGCCACGCATTCATAAATAAAAGTCATCGTTAATTAAATTTAGTATAAACAACATGGCATGCCTGCAATTATTCACTCACTCACTCACTCAGTCAGTCAGTCAGTACCGTGGCGCACCGTACCGCTCCCAGAGCCCAAAAAGCGGCGACAGGCCACAAAACAAAGCAACAAAAAAAATAAAAAGAAACGCTAGGGAAACGCACGCAATGTTTACAGTGACAGCCAAGAAAAAACAAACAAAAACCGCTGTGAGTCGACAATGGGGATACCCTGTACCCGAAATGCGAGCTTAGGCGTAGGGCTATGTGGATGGAAAGAAAGCAGAGTCACGGACTCACCGGGGAATCATTTGTGTTCATTATTTTGTCCGTCATATTCATCCGATTGCTAGGAATCTGTAAAGATGGGTAGAGAATTATATAATATTTATATACTCGTATTCACAGTCGAATTTCTATATTACTATAAAGTTTTCTATATAACGAATTTATTTCCAGAAGACACCCTAATATGCTGGCGAGCTACCGCCGTGGGCTGGCCAAAATACAGCCAGTCGACCTGCCCAACAGGATGATCTAAGAGGACCTCTGCCCTAGAAACCTGGACAGATAATTGAACCAAATAATATCCCCCTCAAAAAAAAAAACAAAAAATTAATTTACGAATACCACAAATTTTCCCTACAACGAATTCCCCTTAAGATTCGTTAAATGGAAGATAGACTGTAATTTTATTTATTTTTTTTTTTTTTAGTTTAGTTAATTCTATTATTTATGCGTCTAAAAAATACCACAGTAAATTTTTTAATTTTTTGTTTGTAGTTTTTTTAGGCTTTTTGTCCTTTAATTTTCATTCGATACATCATACCCTTTCGGCTCCACCGCGTGGCAAGGGATATCAAAACAAACGTTGACAAAAATGATCTGTGGGCAATTATAATGAATTATTTTGACACTTAGGGCCTGTGCAAATGCATAACTAAAATCGCATAAACGTAATTTATGCACTGCCCCTCCCTCGCTCCTTCAGTCACCCTCCCCTCCCCACGCCCATGGGGCAAATACTTTTTATTGCATTTTAAATGTGATAAATATCCAAGCGGTTCTTTTTTTGTCTTTTTTTTTTTTTTTTTTTTGGTGCCACTTGCAACACACAAATAAAGACCTACGCAAAATCTCTGTTAGAGGAGCGGCCAGTGGCAGCATGGAATTTTTCACTTAGCTACAAGTGCAACAACATGTTGCACATGAACCAGGGGCGGCCTTATGGCCAGAGGGGTCTCACCGTGCCATGGAGAATCGCAGAGAATCCGTTTTTAATTGGTGAAAAATAGCTAAAATTTTCAACGCCGATGCCCCAAAGGGTTGGCTGTTTGCCAAGTAGCCAAAACCGGACTCACCTTCATGGCCATGTCTCTGCCGCCACCTTTCGCCGCCGCCGCCGCCGCCTCCTGCCCACTCTCCCGCGTGCCCCCTCTTCGACCATGTATAAATCGCACTCTTAATGGCCAGAGCGACTTGGCCGGGACTTGTGCGCGACTTGTACGCGATTTACATCGCCCGAAAGATTCGTAATGCTAATAAATTCGTACATCTTATGGGGCGGGAGCGTAGCTAGGGCCGTTCCAGTGGTCTTGTCCTGCAAGCTTAAAGGTTGAGCACCGAGCGGCATCAGTAATGCGTGGCATACTTTTACTTTAGTGAAAATTTAGAAGCCACTGTACTTCTATGCACTTCAAATAAGGATCCAGCACCTAAAAGAATACACACTCCCACCAACAGGCGGTCTTTCGATCTGATTTTGCATTCGGAGAGCGGCCGAAGGAGAGCATGGAATGTGCGAGAGAGCATGCAAGGCAGCATTGGAACGGTAGGTGGTCCGCTCTCTTTCGGTTCTTTTCTCACGCTCCGCACTGCGGAGAGCGCTTTGACGCCATGCTTAATGAGAGAGAGAGAGAGCCCTAAGTCACGCACGCATCTGTCACTCTCTCAAAGCTTCCACTTTCCGCCGGCTCTTCATTTTCCCTCTTCGCTGGCTGCCTAGAAAACCCCCAAAAGCGAGACGAGACCAATAAACTGGGCATACTTCCAGTTGATGGGATGCCTTT